TACCTTGCAAATATTCAAAATGATGTAATAATTTAGATTTAAATTCTTGTCAATATCCCCATTTGAACATTTGTACCCCCCTTCCCATATTTGGTTTTGTAATAGCTTAGTAATTTTAATTTCGCACTTTATTGTTTTCTAATGATAACATGTTAGAATTAGGGTTTGTATGCGAAAAAACGATAAAAAATAGTTTGACCTAATACAAGATAAATGAGCATGAAAATAAACAACACATCTCACACTTGCACCCCCTAGGGTATTCCACTTGTTGCCTTCAAATAAATGGGCCATATTGTATGTTGAACTTCTTTGGGCAAAGCAAACAATTTGAATGATCATAGTCCCTCGATAAAACTTTTCAAAAACAAACAAAAACAAATGATCAAGTCCCTTAAAGAAAATTGCCCAAAGACATTTAACGCCGTTGCAATCATGGTCTAAACGATGACCCGCGCCTGTCCCTTTCACATCCTAACATAAGGTTGTCCACCAAATACAATGGTGGAACAAACTTATTAAAAGGGTTAAAACATAGCAATAAACTTTGAGAAATTTAGGAGTAGATAACCTCTTAGTTACTTGAATCAACCTTGCAAACAAAACACTTGCCTGATTTCAAAACCACACAACACTACACTTTCTAAACAAACTTTCAAAAAACAAATGAAAACCTTTTCAAAAGACATACATCTTTGTATACATCCCCACATGGATCATTACAAAGGTTGCCACCACATTGGCATCTTTTCAAAACATTTTCAAAACCCACACACAAAGCACCATTTCAAACAAATTGAAAACAAAAGGCAAGTGATCTAAGCAAGTAACTAAGAGCCCATGGATAACCATGGATAGAAAGGGTGCTAATACCTTCCCTTTCTATAATCTACTCCCCGAACCCAAGAAAACATCTCAAAAGGTTTTTGCTGTGCTTTTTAACCTTTCCTTAGGATAAAATAAAAAGTCGGTGGCGACTCTTGCTAACCGCAACATTTGCGAATACAAACGCAAAACCTCAAGTCAGTTCTCCCACCGTATCACAGTAAGTGCAAAATGTTTGAGCAAACTTCTAATAGCTATCTACTTTATTACTCAAAAAGGGTCGTTCTTTTCCTCTTTTCCTTTAGACGGTGTTATCCTACTATTAGTGAGTAGGTAGCCTTGTCATTGGATGTTGAGGGACAATCGAAGGGACTTACAGTCACGAAGGCAATTCATGAGATGCTTTAGCAATTCTATTTTAGAGAATAGATCATTTACCGAGAAGAAAACTGTAGGGTCATCGAGGGACTGTGATCTTTTGATTTTACGGGTCTTTGCTAAAATGTTCCTACCCCGTGACTGTTTTTTAAAGGCAAATAAAGTGGGCGTACCTTAGAGGTGCTTGTGTGCAAGTGTGTTATATTCAATTATTTTTGTCTTTTTATTAAGTTAGCTAACCTTTTAATTTAGAGTCTTTCCATACATGCCTATTTACTAACAGTAATATAACTAAATAAAACAATAGAGGTGCGGAAAATAAAATGCAGAAGAAGTAAATCCTAAACTATTACACAACTTTGGCAGAGATACAATATAAGTGTATGAGATAAAATGTGGAATTTTAAATCTAAGATTATTACATCCATGGGCAGTTATAATACTTACATAAAATGTTGGAATAAAAATAAACGCGCGCGAAATTGGAAATAGCGTCTAAAAATATCCTAAGAAATACAAATCTTTTTGTTTTGTTTTTATCATGAAAAGAAAATTAAATCTAAATTAAGTCCTAGATTCTAATTTGTTTTAAGTTAAGAAAATAGTTAAAATTTAATTAATCAATTAATTAAGAAATTAATTATTTAATTAAAATATCTAAGTCTAATTTTTGTGATTTTTTTGATTTAATATTAATTAAAAAGATAAAAAGTCGAATAAGAAAAAAGAAAAGAACAAAAGCAAAATAATAACACAAAGAGGCATCCTTCGATTGGGGTGAAGAAGGGGGGTTTCGATCCAAAGGGGAAGTTGCCTTTCGACCCAGGTAGAAGACTCATTCGATTCACCTTTCTTTTACTTCCTTTCGCTTGAGTTTAGGAGTTGGTGTGAGCAACCTTCGATTGCCACCTTTTCTGCTTCCTTCGATTGGCCTATGAAGCAATATAGACCAACAGGGCAGCATGAGGGCAGGTCCTTCGCTCACACCCTTTTTGTATTTTGTTTGAGCCTGTATGTGTTAGTTGGACAAGAAGAACAAACAAGCCAAGAAAAATACATAAACGAAAAAAACGAATAAAAGGCTATTTACATGTTATGCTAAAACGAAAGATGCAAGGTCAAGAAGACCTACCTTGCTTGAAACTGGAATTTACGCGTGGACTGAGGTTGTTAGGTGCTTCGATTTGACACTCCTAGGTGTGGAGACACTTACTTAGAAGCTGGTGTGGACTCCTGGATGTCTCAGGAACAAGGATCCGGTCTTCGTTTGGGCTGAAGGTACCTGCAAAAAAGGTGTTTCGATTTGACACTCCTGGGGTTTCTATGAGCAATATGGCAGCGTGATCTGTTCGTGTGCAAAAGTATATGTCTATGTCCTCTCCTTCGTTCTCCCCCTTGGTACTGTGTCCTTACCCTTGTATTTATAGGAGTGTCATGGTCCAGTAACAACAAGAGACAGCCATTTAACCAGGCCTTTAAAGCCATGAGACAAGAATCAGACAACTTAAAAGCATTCCTTTTTTGAAACATTCATGTCTCTTTGGAAATCTTGGATGAACCTGGACACTTGACCCCTTCGAACACCCTCCATCGTTTCTCTTCGATTGGCCTAGGAGTTGCCTCCTTCGAATGGACTTCTTATGCACCCTTCAAATGGGCTTTCTGAATGCCTCTTCGAATGGACTTCTTATGCACCCTTCGAATGGGCCTTCTAAATGCTTCTTCGAATGAACCTTTTGGAATGCCAATCGAAGGGCCTTTATCCATACCAATCGAAAACCTTGTTGAAATGTCAATCGAAGGATCTTGTTACAAGGCCAATCGAAAGGCCTGACCACAATGCCAATCAAAGCATTTTTGGAATGTCAATCGAAAGGCTTGGCCACAATGCCAATCGAAGCATTTTTGGAATGTCAATCGAAAGGCTTGGCCACAATGCCAATCGAAGGGCTTGGCTATGAGGCCAATCGAAAGGCATTGTATCCATGCCAATTGAAGTGTCTTGTTGACCGATCGAAAACTTCGTTCTGCTCTCTTCGATTTCCTTCAGTTTGGACTAATCGAAGTGACGCTAAAATGCCAATCGAAGATGCCTTTGTTTAGATGCCAATCGAAAGACACCTCATTGAAGGACACTTTGACCAACTTCAAAATTTGCTATTTTTCTTCAAGCAAGTGTTTGTAACCACCCATGTAAGAGAAGATCTTGTAAAAAAAATGAGAGGGCAAATTTTGGGGTACAACACACGCTTACATGAAGAAGTTCTAAAGCTACAACTTCTGAGTGCAATAAACATTATGAACAAGAACTCCATTATTCTGTTTCGTACAATTCTAGAAAGAAGTAAAGGAGTCCCAACGGTAACATTCATCTTCTGATGTAACCTTTAGCAAGTATATTCTAAAGCGTTACATTTCATTCATGGCTATTTAAAAGTAACGGCTGAAAGAGGACAAGAATCTCTATGTTTGGAAAGTTCTTTAATTACTATTTATCAACATTCCAAAAGCACCTCACATGCGTTGCCTATATAAACAAGAATTGAAAGAGAAATCGTTTACGATTTTGCTTCGCACAAAAAACGAGAAAATTCATCACCTTCAATCTATTGAATTTCATTTGTGTAATACATCACTTGTGTGATACTGTGTTGTTAGAAAATACACCTCGTACACGCTTTCAAATATTGTATTGTGTAATACCTTGAGAAAACTGGGTTGTGGTTTAAACTCAAGAAGACTTTGACGGTTGTCATTGTATCTGTGTAATCAAGTTTGATTAGTGGATTAAGACCTCGTTGAGAGAGGCGAAATCAACTTGGCGGATGGACTGAAGTAGTTTGAGTTCAAACGAACCAGGATAATCAACGTGTCTTTTAATTTAAGTTTTAAAAACCCCAATTCAAACCCCATTTCTTGTGTTTTTCCATTCTTCAGTTTAAGATAATGAACTTGTAGAAGAGATCAATAGTGAAGGTCATTACAGGGCAAATCACACACTTACCCCTATCATAGTATTCACACTAGTAAAAAAATAATCATTTACCTTTGTATATTTTTAATTATTGTTAAATACAATAACCAAACCAAACTCCATATTGAATTTTGTTTAATTTAACCTCGCATTAAACTTGGTCATTCTGTGTCGTCCTTGAGATCGACGTTCAGGAAATTTTTCCTGAGGCAAAATAATACACTTGCTATTTTATCGATCAATTATCTTATGGTTTGATATGTTATAATCTGATCTATTTAGAAAGCCTGAAATGATATATCTTTAACGGAATCACAAAAATAACGAATGAAGCGGAGGCAAATAATATATTATTGGTTTGAAATTGATTTTTTGGTAGGTCGGAGAAGACGTCTTAAGAATCCTATCCTCTACCTACATCTATAAAAAATCGAGTAGTTATCTTACTTCGAATGTATCGGTGGATCTCTTACACCACTTCTGTTAAAATATTATTTGTTGATAATGAATGTAGTTGGTTTAAGCTCTAGTCAAAGAGTAGCAATGTGGTTTGGTAGCACTCGTGGATATATTGATGATAATGAGTGAAATGGGAGGTGGAAAAGCATTTTACTTATTTCAATAACCTAATAGATTACTAAACATTCGGTCCAGTTATATCATATTCAAACCGGACCAAAAATCTAACCGGGTCGAACTTCCCAAACCCGGTCCAATCAAACCAGTAAACTAGGATTCCCAAATTGCAACCGTAACTGCAAATATATATAAACCCAAACCAAACGAAACCCTAATTCGTTGTTCTCGGCGGCGAGAGGAGAAAATGTCGACCGTTCCGGGGCCACTCGTATGGGAGATCGTGAAGAAGAACAACTCCTTCTTGGTCAAAGAGTTCGGAAATGGCAACCAGAGCGTTCAATTCAGTAGAGAGAGCAACAACCTCTACAATCTCAACTCTTACAAGTTCTCCGGTATGCAATTTTTGTTTTCAGAATTGAATTTGATACCGTTATTGTGATTTCGATAATGGGAATTTGAAACAAAATGAACTTTTTTTATGTTTCACTGATAATTGGAATTTGAAAAAAAATGAACTTGTAGGATTGGCAAACAAGAAAACTGTTGCTATTCAGGCGGCTGGTAAAGATCAATCTGTGTTGTTAGCTACAACGAAGCCGAGGAAACAGAATAAGCCTTCTGTTTTGTCTCAGAGATCAGTGATGAAGAAGGAGTTCCGCAGAATGGCAAAGGCCGTTCAAAATCAGGTGAATTTATGTAGGGCATGCTGATGATCTATGAATTTTTGTTCCAATGCATGAAAAATTGCTGATTTTTCTGTCTGATATGTTGCTGGATTAATGAATGTGATCATTCTTTTTTGCCGTGGCTTTAATGATTGGCTTGTTAAGATCTATGTAGCATTGACACTGACACTTTTGATTGCGTTTAATTTATTTTAATTGTTAAATATATTACCGATTTTGCTGTCATTGTCATGTTTGTGGTTTATGTGCTTCATAGGTTAAGATAGTTAAAATTTTTGATTTTATTCTCAGCAGTGATGAGGCTCTAACATATAAGTAGAATCCCTATGTGGGTTTCTTCTATGAAATATCCATGTTACGCTTGGCTTCTGAGCTTGATAATTCTTTTTCTGAATAAATTTTGTTAGATGAAATGATAATCTGCTTCTCTCTGATTTCAGTTAATAACTATCCTATAATCCTGGTGTTTTTGTCATTTAAAGTAAAAAATTAACCATATTGATCTGAATTTCCTCTAGCTTTATGCTTGTTCTTCCTTTGTGCATTTGGTTTTAACTGACTTGGTCTTTCACATTACTATGTTATGATGTAAAATTCTGTTCTCAGTACTATACTGATTGTGCTGATTGTGTTGATTGTTGATTTTCTAACTTTATGTTTGGCAGTATTTTCTGATGCATGGCCATAGTGATATAGTAGCTTTTTAATTTTTAACTGAACATTGTGTTAGGTGGGAGACAATTACTATAGGCCTGATTTAAAGAAGGCAGCTCTTGCAAGGTTGAGTGCAGTTCACAGAAGCCTCAAAGTTGCCAAATCTGGCCTTAAGAAGAGGAATAGACACGCTTAAGTTAAACCAAATCCAGAACAGTTTTGTTGCATTTGAGGATTACTTGTTTTTGACCCTTTGTGTTTGTTCTCTATGTATGACTCAATCCTAGATTTCCTGAGTTTTGAAATCTAATTCATTATTTACTTTAAAATATGAAACCTTGGTTGATCTATCTATGTCTTGACATTAGTATTCTATGGTTCATAGAAAATTGAAGTCGACAGAAAAAATGAAAGAAGTTTTTAGTGCTCTTGTAATGAAAAACACTAGAGGATTTTACTTTTCTAATTCTTTTCTCTTGTTTGCACGAACAACATAGTTATATAAGACCCTCTTTAGTTTTTATTCTTGTATCTTTTTATAAGATCCTCTTCAACTTTCAAAATATATTAATTATTTTTTTTCCATACATAACTCTATTTATATTACATATTTTTCTGTAATCATGTGATAAATATATATGTACAAATATTAATTATTTCTTTTCCTTAAAGATAAATTTGTAAAATTGTATAAATAGTAAAAAAAATTAATATTCTAATCAACTTTCTTAATTAGTGTAATTTTATTAATGGGATCTTATATTTAGGGACAGATAGTATAAATCAATTAATTTTCCAGTTATACTTTGTAGTTAAGTTAACTTGGCACCTACACAATCATACATTGGAAAGAATATATGAAGATGATGAAATGTTAACAGCATCCCTGTTTCATGTATACTACCAACATTTTTGTTACAATATTTTCAACTTGAACAAATTTTGATTTTTTTTTATAATAATTATATTAAGGCTAATGCCAGTTCGTACACATCTTAAAAAATGTATTTTTATTAAAAATTTGTTCATTTAAAATGAAAATACTTCTCTTAGATTGAATAAATTTGAGTAGACTTGGATCAAATGAATTTGAATAGTGATTGATAACTTTCTTGGATTAATGTGTAGTTCACTTGTGATGGAGATATGGATCTTTGAAGCATTTGAAAATATATCTCCAGATTTTTTAGATATTTACCACTGGAGTGCAATAAACAATCTCAATATATTTTATACCTGTTATTGTGCATCTAAATAACACATCTTTTTATCTAGTTTAATTAAATTTTGTTTTAATTTAATTATATGATCAAGTATTAATTAAATTAAACTTGTTAAGGAATTAATCCATCCATCAAATCCTAGAAGTTTCGACAAAGTCTAAAGTCAATGAAGGCAAATTATGACACGCATTCTCCAATTATCTTACTTGTCTAATTCCAATTCGCCACCCTTTAAAACCAGTACAAAAACATCATAATTTCAAACATTGTACTACATTAATTTTCACAAACAAATTTCAGCAACTAATCATAGTATCAAACAAAGCATCAAAACATCAGGCTATATATGTCTGTTAAGAAATCTCTATCTTTTAACAATGGCAACACAGCTTCCAATCTAAAGAGCCAGAAATCAACAAAACAAAAACGATTCAGTCGTTCTTTGGTTGAAGCTGTGTCTATGGAACCAGAAAAGAAGCTGAAAGAGATGGATTCAAATAAACTGAAAGGTGAAATCAAAAGATGGGCTAAAGCTGTTGTTGCTTACGCTCGACAAGTTGGCGGCAGTTTTGGAAGAGATCATGGCAAGTCGCAGATTTAAATTCAAAGTGTGTGAAAATGTATATAAATTCTGCAGAATGAGTTTGTATTTTGTTCTTTCTATATTTCGAAAAACTTCAAGTCATTAGTAGTTTCTTTCTATGTTTCCAAAAACTTCAAGTCATTAGTAGTTTCTTTCTATGTTTCGAAAAACTTCAAGTCATTAGTAGTTTCTATATTTACATTTACTGCAAAAACAATCTATTTTTTTTTATATACATTTCTTGTATAGAAAATAGAGAAAACAAAAATAAAAATCCAGCTTAAGCTTTCTTTCTCTCTTGCTGGAATGTCAAAAAAGTGAGACTCAAAAAAATGAAAAAGCTTCACAGTAATTACAGCCTCTTCACCTTCATCTCTCCATTGTTCCTTTCTCCTCCAGAGATTGTTCTTAAAAGCTTCTTAGAACATAAATCCTGTGCCTGTGTAGTGTGTTTCGCTCGGTTCGCTCTTACCCAAGCAGGTTCCTACAAAAGAAAACAGCGCCTTAGTTTGTTAGCAGAGCTGGAAAACGGACTATCTGGTCTGCTTCGGGCCAAGCCGAGCTAAAAAGTTCTAAACAAGGCCCAAAGCTTTATCGGGCCTTTTTGGGCCAGCCGGTTGGGCTATTCAGTTTTCTGACTCCACCTGTTAGTGTTGTCTCTCACAAAACATCTCTGACATGGAAATGAATCATTAATGTGGATGTACACGAGAGAGAAGAAACAATCACCTCAGGAACCAAGCGAGAGAAACCGAACTTAATCAACAAGAGGACATGTTCCATGATTAAAATTGCTGCAAGTCCAGGTTCTACTTTCCATTTTCCTTCCTCATCATATAGCCATACTAAAAGAGCACAGTTGGTGCAAATTGACATCAATATGAGAAACTGCAAAAGTGAAAGATATCATCATGGGAATTAACTATTATTTATAGTTTGAATTCACATGTGTAAAAATGAAGTCTGTTTGGGAGAGTTCATTGTTTTCAACTTATTTTTATAAATACCTGAAATATGTTAAGCCAGGCTCCTACTGTTGCAGCGGCACGAGGAACGGGCCGTCTTAAAATTGCTAGCAGCTTCAGTGCATCGGTCCTTATTTCCATTATGTTGTTCTGAAAAGGAATTTCACAAAAGCTTAAAATGAATTCAAGAGCATTTATAGTTATGGTTAAGGCAAGCGAGGGGTTGTCTGAGTGAACAAATTAATTAAGCGTTAATTATCGCGTAAGTGGTTATGCATAAGCAATTTCTACAATCAACGAGGAAACTTTGCATAAGATCTGTGTAAACTGTTTCGTTAAGCCTTGATCGGGACATTAGGAAAATAAGTTGAAAAAAACTTATGAAATTATTATAAACTATTTTCATATTTCTTCTAAATATTTACACAAGTACTTATGTCATCGTAATTCATCAGACAAGCCTAAAAAAGTAAGCAAGGAAAGAGAAAAGCATTTATACCACAGTAGCGAAAGCAAATGCAGGTGGGAATGCGCAAGCGAACATCAAAATCATTCCAAACTGTAATGCCAACTCTAAGAAATCTGCAACCATTCAATGAAGGAACATCAGTCTTGAAATGCTTCTGGAATAGAGAGAAATTAAGCCCTTTTAGTTCTATCATCAGTAAACACATGTTCATCCACGCAAAATATTCCATATGTACAAGAGTTTATCATTGAATGCATTTTGAGTATAATGGATTTGGCAGTACCATCAAATAACCCATCTTCAAGCTCCTCGCCGATGCTGGCAGAGTAAGAAGGTTTGAGGTATTCTTTCTCCACTCTAGAGCTAAATTGAATTCTATCTGCCGATTCTCCTTTCTCTCTCTTCTTCTTGTGTCTTTACAAATGAAAAAGACGAATTAACTACTCTGTAATGATACTATGGAATAAAAAAAATACCTCGTATAGTTCACGTCTAGCATGGGATAAATAAGGCTTACCGAACACTGTATTTTTTATAACTGTATTTGAGATAAGGCAACGAGTTTTCCACCAAGTTTTCCAACACCTGAGAGTAAAGATAGACAAAATGAGAAAATAGGAGAAGAATGAGACAAAGATAACATGAGAAAATAATTTCTTTACAACCTCAGACAGAAGGAGTCGCTGAATCAAAACTTTGCGAAGAGTTGCGAAGTTACGGTGCAATAAGGCGTGATAAAAAATTCCGATATATGTCTGCATAAAATATAGACCAAACACCTGCAGAAGAAAAAAGTAATCGTCTAGGCCTAGGTTAGGAAAATTTTGTTTTCGTAGTTGAAATTCATGTTTACTAGAATCTAGAAATCTTAGCTTCTATAAAAGGGTGCCAAACTCAGATCCAAACATAACAGGATTTCCTAGTTCTCCATTATTACCTTGTAGACCAAGCTATCGGCACGTTTTTCTGTGTTTTCGTTGTTTTCATTTTTGATAAGTCTGACAGATACACGCCCTCCAATTTTAGTGATGTACTGAATGGCGAAAAGGTAAACAGCAGTGAGCCCAAACCTGAACCCGAATAATTATAAGTTATTGCAAAAAGAAAATAAAAGAATATTCAATAAACTCTAAAGAGTAGAATCACAACAAGGATTGAATCGGATTCTCACTTCATTGCATCGGAACCAATAACTTCATAAAGATGCGCATATGCTAACTCAAAAGGTAACTGGAGACATATTATGCTGAAGATAATGAAAGCGTCGTTCCTAAATCGCATAAAACGCCCTAACCACTCATGTCTCTGGAATACTTGCTTCCCTTTTGCTCTATCAGTCTCAAATATTTTAAGGAGATCCATTGGTGGCTGTAGGGAACTGTCCCTCCTTCCTGGAATCTTGTATCCCGGATCAGCTGCAACTGCAGAGCTAAGAGGCCATCTGCATGGAACGCCACAAACATGAGAGGAAAATCGTCTCTCGGAAAGAATTAATGTCACATTGAAAAAGGAAAACAACATTTATTTTCAAACATTTTTTATATGCTAAAACGACAGTTACCTGGCTAAAAGTGCTGAATTTTTACGTTTCCAGAATTGACAAAACATTACAGCCCAAAGTATCACTACAACGAAGAAAACGGGAAGCACTACTAATTTCGTTGACCTGAAATACAATAAGACATACAAATCACTTGCTAGATGCAAAACTACAGAAATTGTGGTGGCATAAACAGACACCACTAATCAGATTGGCTCACCTAAGATCAATTAATTGCAATGTAAGACCAAATACAGCGAGGAAGAACAGCCACCGCGTGTACATTCCAAGAAAAGCAAAATATATTGCAATCTGCAGAATATTCATTCATTCAAAGAATAAGGAAAATGGATATATCAATTTCGTATATTGTGGTATAGCTCAGAACTGCATTTACCTTTGCTCCATAATATGAATAAATTTCGTCGATTGGCTGACTCGTTAAGCCCCACCAGTGAAGAGCCCAAGTCCTGAGAAGTTTCTTTCTCGTCTTTTCATCTATCAATAAAAAGAAACATTAGTTTGGAGTTCAAGTGATACTAAATATAAAAAAAGTTTGATGGAAGTGTGAGTCGAAAAAACACCATGCAAAGGGAAGACTTGCTTAACAATGTTCTCTGATTCCAATTTTTGAATCAGATTCTCCCCAGTTTCCCAATCGATTTCTTTCCCGTCAAACTTAAGTTTTATCGCCGAATTGCCGTTGTTTACCTGCAAATTCAAAATACCAGAGAACCAAAATGTTAAAACATGTCAATAGGATTATAGGAGAGTTCATACGAGGCTTTCATTTAGCAATGGATTTTGACGATTTTGACACATAGAGAGTACGAATATCCATGAAAAGAAACTTACTATTCCATATATCAAGTGACAATAGCAATGGAAACGCTCGCACCAGCTGAAAACAGAACCGTCCGGTTGTTTTACAAAAGCTTCAACTTCCTCCACCTCAAATTGTAAATCCATACCTAGTATTGAGCACGAGACACAGTATCACATTTAACATTGCAAACTTGCAAACTTAAACGTAAAATTGCATTAGATAGAACACAGACCCCTATTCGAGGATTTGCATACATACCTATATGAGTCCTTTTCTTGATTTGTAGTTCAGCTGCAGTTCTCCCTAATGTCTCCAAAGGTGCAGCCAACTAAACAAATATCACTGCCAATTTTTAGCCACTCCACAAAAAAGCTTAAATTAGACACACAAAACGGAGTAAGCACTCAAATGGATCGGCTTATTTGAGCTTGTCTGTTTGAATTGACTTATCTGAACTTATTGGCTAATATAAGTAGTTATAAGGCTTTTAGAGAGAACTCAAGGAAACAGCTGATGACACATGTCAATAAGCTTTTCCAGAGTAGCTTATGAAAATAAGCAAACTTTTTTTTATCTTTTATATGGAAATAGTTTAGACATAAACACTTATAAGACAGAAACATCACCCAATATGGAATGAAAGTTGTCTAAGGCATGAAAACATTTGAATTTGAATACTTAAGACATTCACAAGAAGACAAAAAAGGTTCAAAATAGAAAGGAATTGAAAAAACCTAACCTTAATGAATTCATCTGCAATGCCAACAACTCTCTCAACTACAAACCCCACCTTCTTGAATTCCTCAACAAGAACACAAGCACAATCAGACGATTCGTCTTTTTCCTGTATTATCTTTCTTGGAATCACCACCCCAATTTCAAAAACAGCTTCTTCATTTTCAAGCTCATTCATTCTTTCAACCCCAGTAACTCAATGCACAAGAGAAATATTAAAACCGTCAAACTAGTTGGTGTTATCAAATGGGCAGAAGAAAGATCCGTTTTTTGGGCAAGAGGGGTTATAGAAATGCCATAAAAATGAAAACTTTCAGGGAGAAATTAAAATAAGCTGAAAAAAGCAACCTCTAGGGAAGGGGCAAAGAGAAAATTGGGTTGTATATTAGTGAAATCAAAATGACGATGATTTCAAAGAAAGTGGCGAAATTAGAGATTATTATAAACATGAATTAAAAACATGGAACAATACAACGAGGATCTAAGTTCGAGGACTTTGAGGAATGTGTTCAGAGAAACAACGGCCTTCGGTAACATACGGTGTTGTACACGTGCATGTATTGTACCCTTGCTGTTTTTCTTATATTTATTTTACTAAATTTTATTCTGTCAAAAAATTGAGATAATAATTTGAGGCACTAAAAAAAAAAGAAGCATAATGAGGTTTTGGTCAAAGGTTATTTCAAAATATGGCACTTGGTTTGACGGATTTTAAAAGATAGGATTGAATAATTTATTTATATAGATATGACGGTCAGTCTTTTTGCCCTAGATAAGGTTCGATGTTTGCTTTTATTGGGCTAGCAATGTGTCTTTATTCATTTGCTTGAAAGTCATTTGAGGAGGCTTTTAGGCCCTTTCATTATGATATTATGGAAGTCGTGAGTTTTAGACTAGCCCTCTAGTTTGTTCTTGAAATTGGTTTGTGAGATGATGCGGTTCGTAGAATGCATGAAAAATTCAAAGACTCCACTTATTTTGGCTTGCTAAATTGTTGATTATCAAAAGTTTTTTTAAAGCAAAATGAATTGAAAACTAGCATAAGGAATGCTAGCTGAGAAAGGAAATACAATGTTTTAAAAATACACATAAGATTGCATACTGCAAAATTGATCATGCTATCCCACCAGAATTGTAAAAAATCCACGCAAAAAATCATATATTAGTTACAACAAAAATCATATATTAGTTACAACAAGTTCTCAAACGCATCAAACCTCTTATAAACCCATAGACTAACAGAACCAATAAAACTAATTGAAACTTCAATCCTTTGACTATATAGATTTGAAGGTATCAACATCACACCAAAATCCAGTTGTAAAGGGACAAACAAAGACGTAACACAACAAGTCCAACCCAATATAAACACAACAAATCCACAACTTTAGCGGAACGATCCCACCAACTCCAAAACAAGCTGATAGAATGGCAACTCCAAACAACTGAGATGAGCAACGAATGACCGCTCTGCACTAGAAAAACAACCTGCAATACAAACACACTGCCATGCACAAAGGTTAACAGAAGTACAACAAGCACAACCATTTCTCCTGTTAGCACATACAAATGACTCAGCTGGGCGTCTGAAATTTCAAAGTTAGAACTAAAGCACGTCGAGGCATGCCCTTTGGTTTAAGCACCACATTATTGCATTGATCTCTCTTTTATTATTTTTAAAATTCAGCCAACTCCACAATAACATTTTCACATCCTCTATCAGACTTTCGATTGCGATATCTTTATTTTGAAATAGCTTTTCATTCCTTACTTTCCAGATTCGCCAAACACTTACAAAACCAAATCACTTCAACCTGCTTGAAACCTTCATGTTACCTCCTAGAAGCCCACTAAACTGATCCAGCATGGAAAGATTCTTATTATACAAAACCGATAAAATATTTAGCCATTGAAACACAGCATACCAAACCCCTGCAAACACTGGACATTTAAAGAAAAGACGAGGCACAAGCTTTTCCTTACCACACTCTCCTACACATAGGATTGATCCTTGTCCAATAACTCATCTTCTAAACAAATTATCTCCCGTAGCTATTCTATTATGGGAAATCCTTCAGGCTAAGCATGACACTTTTGATGGAATCTCTTTACGCCACGCCTTAGACCAAACCGGGTTAGCAAGATTACTAGTAAGAGACACCAGAGCCTTATATACTTCCCTGACAGAGTAATTTCTCAGATCATATAAGTCTCTTCTTATGGAAACATTTCTCGATCCGTATCTATTAACCAAAGCCCTATACCGTAAAACACACCTCTCACTGTTTATTTTCCAATCCCATTTTCCCAACAACCCTAAATTAAAGGCTTTTAAGTTTCTAATCCCCAAAATGCCCTCTTCGATAGGCCTACACACCTTGTTCCAATGGACCCAATTTATTTTTCTTTCATTCTCACCCCCCAAAGAAATAGTTTAAAAAGAGTTTCGAGTTTTGATATAATACATGGCGGAGCCTTGAAAAAGGAGAGAAAGTAAACCGGGAGCGCTTGCAAGACTGATTTTATAATCACCACACGACCACCAATAGATAATTGTTTATTTTTCCACCTTGACAATATCGATCTTACCGCCTCAACCACTGGCTTCCAGGTTTTGAGTCTATTTGACTAATTTAATATAAGGTTTATGGTTAAAGATATAATTTTCATGAAAAATATTGTGTAGATACCAAAAGTCTTATTTTTATTTAATGACAGGTAAAATTGAAATAAGAAAACTTAAATAAACATGACTCTTCATGAAAGTGCATGAGATTCTAAACTTGAATAGCCATGTCTCTGCTAGGACACGAAACGGAAAATCCTACGCTAAACCATGAGAAATCTAAAGATGAAGAGGATTCGGAGGCGAGGAGAACCAAGAAGGTCAAAGAAGGAGAGCATGTATTATCAACATCATCTTCACTTCCGCAGAACTATACAGACGTGATTAAGATGTAGATGAATGAGACGGAAGGAAATAAATCTTATCGGGACAATGTGATGGGGAGTAACGTGGAAGAGCCTTGGAACTATAATAAGGATGATGAAAACACTGATGTAGAAGCTGAAAAGGAAGGAGAGGAAATGGTTAAGGCTAAAGAGGTTTGAATTGGAGATTATGAATGCCCTAATTTCGTTTTCTCAAAATTGGAGGAGAAAATGTTGTATCGATCATGGAGCAGGGGAGTAATTGTGAAACTGATGGAGAGGAGAATAAAGTATAAGGAACCGGAGACTAGATTGAAACAAATGTGGGTGAAAAAAGGAGTAATTACCATCATTGATCTTAGAAATGATTACTATCTGGTAGCCTTTTCCCATGAATATGATCAGTATTTAGTACTCATGGATGGACAGTGGTTCATCTATGATCATTATCTGACGGTTAAAGAAGGGAGTCCAAGTTTTCAACTGACAAGTGAAACTATTAAGGAGGTGGCAATTTGGGTGAGAGCCTCCGGTTTGCCAATTGAATATTATGACAGAGATGCCCTACATTTCGTAGGGTATATAATTGGTAAGACAGTTAAGGTAGACAAAAACACCTTAACTCAAGAATGTGGGAAGTATGCAAGACTATGTGTCCAAGTTGATATGACAAAACCCTTGATTGCGATTGTTGTACCCAAAATTTGCTCTCTCATTTCTCAAGACATTTCTCACAAGGGGCTCCTAAAAATTCAAGCTTACACAAATATATTTGGACTTTTCAACATCAAAATTAAAGAGGAAATTGCTAAAAAAGACAAAACAGATGAAAATACTCTTTTTGACAAAATTAAAGGAAAAGCAAGTTCTTTTCGATTTTGCATCCTTCGATTGGGCACTTTGACTTTGGTTGCATCTTTCGTTTGGGCGCTGGACTCTTTTGGGGCAAGTTCATTCCATGCTTCGATTGGGGCATTGGACTCATTTGGGCAAGTTCATTTCCTGCTTCGTTGGGCACTAGACTTCGTTTGAACGTTTGCGCAAATCTTTCGTTTGGCCACATAACATCTTTCTTATGTATTAGCCAATATTTACAAGGCAAAATTCCTTACCATGTTAACATGCACAAGGCCAAAGTCACTCTTTTAAGCAACTTATTATAAGCTTCGACATGGCAACACTTTCCATCAACTAGCTTCAATTCATAAGGCAAAAAACCTCTTGATGATGTCCTTCGATTCAGGAGGCCAAAGCCTCTCTTCTGCTCTCTTTCGATTGTACATCTTGCCTCATGCAGGCCTCCTTTGTTTGGGGCATATGGACTTCATAATGTTGCAAGTTTTCGATTATGCCTTTCATCCTCTGCATGCATTCTTTGTCTGGAGCGTGTGAATCCTTCAGCACAAGCTCTTAGTCATGCCTTTCGTTTGGGCATGTGGCTCCCTTTTTACAAACTTTAGTTTGAGCATGTTTTCATAAGGTCACAATGAAGGGACCTCCTGCATACACTCTTTCGTTTGGCCATATGGCCCCTGGCAGGCAAATTTGAGTGGACAGTATCTCCCTTGAAAATGACTTGCTTCAACACACAAATTCTGCACTATGCCATTGTCTCATGCGAAAGAAGTATCATGGTGGCACATTCGAAGAACTTTCTAGACATGTCTGAATATCCAAATCGAATGACATATCTTGTTGACCCACCCCAGGAGCACGTATTTGGACCATTCGAAGGAACCCATAAAAGGCCTGGTCGAAAGACACTTATTTGGGGCCCCTTCAGAGGATATCCACATGAGCCATTCGAACGAGACTTCGATTTAAAAAGGAAATGGTTGTTAAAGAGTCTGGTCGAAAGACAAGGCTAGGGGATCAAGACAAAAGGTTGAGATGCCAAAGGTACTTGTTGACCAAGTCCCACGCGCTTCCAGGTTCAGGCCTGATACACTGGCCATAAAACTCCAAAACTGTTGCACAACAGTCCCGTAACACTATCTTATTCCTGGCACCAAAATGGCATACAAACACTTCCCCTCGAAAGCTGAAAATACAACATACCTTTTTTGTTTAAATCTTTTGTTTTCCCTCCTAAAACATCAGCCAGACCATCTATAAATATGAGACTCCACCACACATGTTAGGGGTGCCGGAAGGATTGCAAGAGAACACTTATGAAAATTCCCAAAATTCTCAAACACTTCCCAACATTTTTTCAAACACTTCTGAAAAACTCAACCCCCTTTTGTTATAAAAAGAACCTTCAATTCACCCCTAAGTAACCATCTAACTAGCCTTCGACCCACTTCCCCAACTACCATACAGTAGCCCTTTGAGTCATTCCATTAATTGTTATAAAAAGAACCTTCGATTCACTCACACAACCTCCTTTGATCCAGTGACTGCTTGCACAAAGTGGTAACTGGATTAGTCTCGGGAAGGTCCCAACAAACTCCCATTCTCCATCAAGGAAGGCACTTGTAGTTTCCTTTGATTTAAAAACTTCAAGAGGTAAGTTCCCTTCAAACTTAAATCTATTCTATTTTAATATAATGTGCACATGTCAATAAAGAAAAATGTAGATATTTCATATAGGAAGCTTGACCATGTTTTAGCTTTCGATTCTGACTGCCCATACACTGAAAAGCTCAACTCTGACTAGTTAGGCTTTGGACTTTGAGACCCAATGATTTTTATGCTAACCCCTGGCCTGTAGTTACACTTGAATGTTGCATTTTAAGAACTCAAGATAGGTTCTTTGTACCTTTCGATTGGCTAAACGCTCAAGCCTTTCGAATCTCAACCTAAGGGCCTAGCACACTTACAGTCGAAGGAGTCAACAAGGAGTCTGGAAAAAGAATGCACCTATCGCTGACTCCAAGCCTCAAATGAAGGAAGTGACCAGAAAGGTGGCCTTGTTAACTCCAGGCCTCAAACAAAGACAAAACCTTGTTGACTTCCAACTCCCAATCGAAGGACAGAACCTTGCTGCCTCCAAGTCCCAAACGAAGGACAAAACCTTGCTGCCTCCAGGCCTCAAATGAAAGACAGAACCTTGCTGACTCCAGATCCAAATCGAAAGAGGTTAAAAAGTGCAGAATCGAAGGATGCTTCTGCCTGAATCGAAAGAGCTCATTTTTCTACTTTTTATTTTATTTTGTCTTTATATTTTCTTGCTATTTCAATATGATTGTAATAGTGTGGGATTTATTTTATTTTGCATTTTTATTGTTTTTTGTATAAGTGTTAGTAACTAGGATGTATGGCAAGATAAAAACAACAAGTATATAACCAAAAGTTCAAAAGACAAAAATGCATGCAATCAAACACACTATTCACACACATGCACCCCTAGGGTAATTCCACTTGTTGCCTCGGAAAAATATTCATGTCCCTCGAATATGGGCGTTTTAGCAAAGATCCTCGATAAAAGATCGTAGTCCCTCGATGATCCTCATTGTTGCCTTCGGTAAATGATCTAGTCCCTAAATAAAATTGCTAAAACGTCCCATAGGTTGCCTTCTATGACTATACAAACATCCCATGCTCGTCCATTCACATCAAATGATGGGGCTTATTACCAAATCAATGATAAGATAACAACATCTAAAAGAGAGGAAAAAGAACATTAACACCTTTTGAGTAGGTAGGATGCTCCTAGTTGCTCGCTTTCTCACAACAAAAACATTTTATACACCCACAATTTCACTTTGAAACATTTTCAAAAGACAAAACACTTTGTACGCGTTCTTATAGATACGAGAACCATTACAAAGACATTTTTTTCAAAATACTTTCAAAAAAACACACCACAAGCACATTTTCAAACAAAAGCAAGTGATCTAGTAAGCAACTAAGTTCCTGTAGATAACTACGGATAAAAAGGGTGCTAACACCTTCCTTTTTCATAACCTACCCCCCGAACTCAAGAAAATAATATCAGAGGTATTTCTTATTCTTTTTACCCTTTCCTCATTGGATAAAAGAAAAGTCGGTGGTGACTCTTGCTATCCGTAACAATTGCGATCAAACACAAAACAGTCAAGTCAATTCTCCCACTGTATTACAGAACCGGCAATTCTGCTGGGGAATTACTTAAAAATGGGGTTACCTTAGGGCTAGATCACCTTTACTTGCTTTCTTTGTTTGACTTGTTTGCTTTACATTTTTTTGGGTCTTTGCTTGGGCTTTTGTTAAAGATCCTATACCCGAATCTGGGGAACCTTTTAAGTAAGTAGCGGAAGTTGTACGGCGTAGACCGGTATGGACAAAGTGATAGCTACGTTACCGTGATACTCTGACTTGTACTAATGTTCCTTGAGTTAGTCAAGAATTACACTAGGCTTCCTTATAGTGTCATTAAGCGCTAACTAACCTTTATAACCTTTACTTGACTCATCCTAAGCCATTAGAAAGTAGTGAGATAGTCGGCTTTGGTTCTGACCAAAGTTTGGTTGATACTCGATGCTACACTCATTTGAGATTGGACTTTTGGGATATTCTGGCCGTAATACTTCGGTGCTTGAGCTAGAACAATGCCTAAAAAGAAAGGCCAGTGATATGAGACTCCTTAGAACCCGTAACTTTTAATAGGACAGGTTGAGCCAACTAAACTTCAAGAGTGTACTTACCTTTAAAGACTCACGCAAGCCATTAAACCTAGGGTCTTTTGTGTGACTTACTTGATATGTCTGTAATTTCAACACATAACCATAACATCATAAACATCATGGCATACATGCTAACCATTTCAAGAGGATGGAGATTTATCTTTCTTTTTTGTTTTATAGGGTATGGATTCAACTCGCAGAAAGACCATCCGAATCAATTTTGTAGAGGTCCCTCCTAAGCTCAAAGAATTGGTCCTGAGAATTCCCGAGAGCTCATAGTTCAATAAGAGATATGGTCACTTGCTCAGTTTGGTTACTACCGGGTTTGACGAAGGTCTGATGAGTGTTTTGTTCCAGTTCTTCGACCCTAAACACCATTGCTTAACTTTTCCAGATTACCAATTGGTGCCTACACTGGAAGAATTCTCGAAAATACTTGGGTCACCTAATATTGGAGCAAGTACCTTTCACCGGTTTAGAACAAGATCCAGTTGCTGAAAGTGTTGCCATAGCTTTGCATTTGAAACCATCTGACATTGAATCCAATTGGGAAAGAAGAAGTGGAGTCAATGGCCTCCTTGCAAGTTTTCTAATAAAGAAAGCTCAAATATTCTTAGATGCCATGAGTTACCATGCCTTTGAAGATGTCCTAGCTCTCTTAATATATGGATTGGTTCTGTTCCCCAATTCAGACCATTTTATAGATGTCAGTGCCATCAACATCTTCCTTGCTCGCAATCCAGTGCCTACATTGCTCGGAGACGTGCTGCATTCACTCCACACTCGTACCATGAAGAAACGAGGGTCTCTTATATGTTGTACGCCTTTGCTCTATTGGTGGTTTATTTCTCACCTTCCTCGGTTAGTAATGAAGAATGAATCAGGCTTAAGGTGGAATCAAAGGATAATGTCCCTTTCTCACTCTGATATCTATTGGTGCCCTCGCTCTCAAGAAGACACCTCTTTTATTGATCATTGTGGAGAGTTCCCTAATGTGCAACTCCTTGGCATTAGAGGATGTATCACTTACAACCCTTCTTTGGACCTACGTCAGTTCGGATACGCCCGGAGGGATGGTCCCCACGATATGCTCATCCAGGGTATTGTGTTTGACTATTCAAATGATCTGCAAGGTTATCGCCAGAGGTTCATTCGCGCTTAGGCATGGTAAAGAAGACCGATAGCATTGCTTTGGGATACAAAAACTCCATCCCTTTGGAGCCTTACCTCATATGGGTACGAGCTCGTGCTCAAAGTCTTATGATGCCATATGCTACTATCCTGTTAGTGATCTCAGAGTCTGTTGATCAAGAAGACGAACCTCACATCATTTTTCATCCTAATATGCCAACAAGCTTCGAAGAGTTGCAAAAGTCTTGGATCTAGCTCAAGGAAGAACGAGACACCTTTGAGAATCAATTCTACGCCAGTGAGAAGAAGGTTCAGGATCTCACGAAGCAGCTTCATAAAGAGCGAAGTTTGAACGCCTATATTGCGCTAAAGAGGATGCGTTCGACCTTTCTGTCTTAGGAGTTTTATTTCTGTATTTTATTTCTTCCATTGTAATCCCCAAGAGGCCTGATGTAATCAAATTTGATTTATTAATACAATGTGTGTTTCTTTTTGTCTAAGTAAATTTAAATCTCATAGTTTCCTTGAAATCATTTGCATATGCACTTTCATTCATCATAACACAAACATGTTTTCACAAACATGTCTCCTT